CAAAAATCATTGATTTTCCTTAGGTTTTGGGACGATTTTGGCCTCTTCGGGGCCTCCTTGGGGAGCTGTTTGGCCACTTGGAGTTATCTTGGGGCCGTCTTTGGGCTTCTTGGAACCATCTTAGGAGCCATCTCGAGCGATCTTGCGCTATCTTGAGCCATCTTGGAGCTCATCTTGGGTTCTCTGAGGCGCTCTTGGAGCCGTCTTGGGCCATCTGGGACGCTCTAACTACCCGCGGCCCCCCCCGTCCAGGTCCAGGGGAGGGGGTAGGGGGAGGGGTAAACCCCTCCCCAAGGGGGAAGAGGGAGGGGTGGAAGAGGATCTGCTCTAGACCACCTACGCCCAGAGGGCTGGTGGGATTCAAAACCTTTCTGATTCGATTTCGAAATGGCGCTCCCGCACAGGACTTCCTCAAAAATAGAAATCGACACCTGTATGCCTCGATTTCGAAATGGCGCTCCCGCGCAGGACTTCCTGCAAAATGAGGTCCGGCATTCGTTCCGTTCGAACTCGAAATGGCGCTCCCGCCCAGGACTTCCTCCAAAACAGAATTCGAAACCTTCGGGTTCGATTTCGAAATGGCGCTTCCGCCCAGGACTTCCTCAATCAAGACTACGATCAGAACCACGACCACGACCACTACGACGACGACGACGACGACGACGACGACGACGACGACGACGACGACGACGACGACGACGACGACGACGGCGGTTACGACGTTTACATGCGCTCTCGCCCGAATGCTGGCCACTCCTTCGTTCTCGCCTCACCGCCGTCCAGTGTCTCGGTCTGGCCGACCGCTCTCTGGGGTGGCGCCCGGGGAGGCCCCCGGTGCGGCGCTGGCCCCCTTCCGGAAGGGGGGACGTGCCGGGGGGAGACCCGCCCCCCCCTTTCAAGGGGGACCCCCTGGGGGGAGATACTGCTGTCACCCCCAACAGGCACATTTTTGAAAAGGACCCGCCCGTTTGGGCTGCTTCCGCTTGGGCCGCCTGATCTACCCCATTTCCTTTTGGAAAACCAATATGTTTTCCAATCGTTTTCCGGGTTCGGGCCTTTTCTGCAAGATCGTGTTTTTTTGTTGTTGCGACCCCAGCCTGGAGGCCGAATGCAAGAGGTAAAGCACGACTCATCCGCCCATTTGGGCTGCTTCCGCTTGGGCCGCCTGATCTACCCCATTTCCTATTGGAAAACCAATATGCTTTCCAATCGTTTTCCGGGTTTCGGCCTTTTCTGCAAGATCGTGTTTTTTTGTTGTTGCGACCCCAGCCCGGAGACCGAATCCAAGAGGTAAAGCACGACTCATCCGCCCGTTTGGGCTGCCACCGCTTGGGCCGCTTGAACTACCCCATTTCCTATTGGAAAACCAACATGTTTCCCATTAGTTATCTGGGTTCCGGCCTTTTCTGCAAACTCGTGTTTTTTTGTTGCGACCCCAGCCCGGAGACCGAATGCAAGAGGTAAAGCACGACTCATCCGCCCGTTTGGGCTGCTACTGCTTGGGCCGCCTGATCTACCCCATTTCCTATTGGAAAACCAACATGTTTTCCATTAGTTATCTGGGCTCCGGCCTTTTCTGCAAATCGTGTTTTTTTTGTTGCGACCCCAGCCCGGAGACCGAATCCAAGAGATAAGGCACGACTCATTTTGACTAGTTCCGCTTGTGGTTACATTCTCGGCTGCTCTCCTCTCCTCCTTTGGTCAGTCATCGTAGGCACGGGGGTGCTAGCGTCAAGGTGATTATCGGCGCTCGGCTGCTCATAGGTTCTGTGGTGCTCTCAGGCTTTGGAGTGATGCTCACGGCCGTCGTGGTGTTCATAACCAATGTGATGCTCAGGCGTTGTTTAGCTGAAAACGCAAAGCGGGTCAAAACTTTCGTAGCGCCGATGTATGACGGTGGTGATGATGAGGATGATGCCGATGAGGATGTTGACGACGATGGTGATGGAGACGATTGTCGCGATGACGACGATGATGCCGCTGATGATGATGATGATGATGATGATGATGATGATGATGATGATGATGATGATGATGATGATGATGATGATGATGATGATGATGATGATGATGATGAACAGGATGAGGATGAGGATGAGGATGAGGATGAGATGATGATGATGATGATGATGATGATGATGATGATGATGATGATGATGATGATGATGATGATGATGATGATGATGATGATGATGATGATGATGACGATGAAGATCTGGATGATGACGACGACGGGTTTCAATTATCGAGGCTTCCATCGAAGCGACACCGCCGGGTTCGAAATATCACGACGTCGGAGGGTGTAGCCTCTTGAGGAGGCTCTCGTGGAGGCTGAAGGGGAGAAACTGTGAGAGCGAGAGGGCGAGAGAGAGAGAGAGAGAGAGAAAGGGAGGCTGAGAAGGGCCTGCAACTGCTTTGGCTCAAGCCCGGGGCGGGGTCCCTTCCCCGCCCCGGCCACCCCCGCTTGCAGCCGGGAGTCCTTTAGTGGATTACCGGCCTG